CAAACCTCCTCTGAACAAATCCTGCCAAGAAAACCCCACAATAGGTTCTAGGATCACCATAAGTTGGAAGTGACTTGAAAGCACACAACAACAACATACAGTAAAAAGATTTAAAAGAAAAGTAGGAAGAAAAGGAAAAATTATAAAGAGAAATGGAAAAAAAAGAAAGTAAGATGTAAAGAAATAGAAAAATGGCTTCCAACTTTCTTTTCAGCATTTATAGATACATCTAATGTGATCATACCTCTCCTTCTAAAACTACATCACACACTTCTTTCATAATAATAATAATAATAACAACAACAACAACAACAACAACAACAACAACAATAAATTATTTATTTATAGCCCACCCAATCCCAAGGAATCCAGGCGGGTTACAGCAATATAAAATACATAGAATACAATAAAATTCAAAATTAAGTGTTGCATGTTTGCAGGGGTTTCCAGTCTAGGACAGGTCAAAGGTATGTCAAAATAGAAAGGTCTTTGGCTGTTGAAGAAAGAGAGTAGGGAAGGTACCAGTCTAATGTCTCTAGGAAAGAAGTCCCAGAGCCTAGGGACAACCACCAAGAAGGCTCCGTCTTCCATGTTCGCACCAGATGCAGGTACGTCACAGAGAATGAGAAGTAGAAGCATCTAGATTCAGAATTTTGGTGACTTTGGGTCAAGAGACCATTGGAGACCACAATCAGAGGTGGCTCTCATATTAATAATGGAGAAGTGAATCCGCTTTAGGTTTTAGCTTGAACTTTAATGGAACTATTTGGGCAGAGAGGGTCCAGCACCTTGGATAGCTATGGGATTTTCTCCATTGGGCATTTCAGTAGAGAGAGACAGAGTGGTTTGAGCATTGGACTAGGACTCCGGAGACTAGGGTTCAATTCCTGGTTTGGCCATGGAAACTCCCTGGGTGACCTTGGGGGAGTCACACTCTCTCAGCCTCAGAGGAAGGCAAAGAAACAGTCTCCCCCCCCACTCAAGAAACTTTGCCAGGAAAACCCCATGATAGGTTTACTTTAGGGTTGCTGTCCATTGGAAACAACTTGAAGGCACAAAACAACAACAGTGGCAGCTCAGTTGACCCCCTTTCTGCCCTCCTTCCACCAGCAAGCAAATGCCATTTTATTTAAACTGGCATTAGGCAATTGGTTTTGCAGAAAGATTATTAATTGGGGGCAAGGTGTACTGTACTTTTATGCACGATTTTAAATTTTTTGAAATGCTTCCATACTGTTTTAAATTACTGTCATGTTGATAAATTAGTTTATTTAACAGTTTTTCAAAATTCAATTATATAATCATCCCTCTTTTTTTTAGCTGCACTAGGTTTTAATTTATATAGCTAGCCAACCCATGTTGGGAGAAAGATGGGACAGAAATTAAAGAAATGAATTTGTTGTTGCTGTTTGCCTTTGAGTCATTTGAGAGTTATGGTGACCTTAAGGCAAACCTATCACAGGATTTTTTTTGGCAGGATTCGAAGACTTATACAATGCATTCATGATGCAAAGTCTTGACTCCAAGTTCCAGAATTCCCCTGCAGGATTCTAGAAGTTGTGATCCAAGGCTTAAATCCAATAGTTATTCCTGACTAGAGTTGTTGTCACTGTTGTTGTGTGCTTGTTGTGTATAGTTCTTGCTTCTGACTTATTGCGACCCTAAGGAGAACCTATCATGAGGTTTTCTTGACAAGATTTCTTCAGATGGGGTTTGCCTTTACCTTCCTCTGGGGCTGAGAGAGTGCGACTTTCCTAAGGTCACCCAGTGGGTTTCCATGGTTAAGCTGGGATTTGAACCATGTTGTATTTGTTGTTTGCCTTCAAGTCTTTCTGACTTATGGTGACCCTAAAGCCAACCTGTAAAAGGGTTTTCTTGGGAAGTTTCTTCAGAGGCGGTTTGCCATTGCCATCCTCTGTGTGAGAGAGTGTGGCTTGCCCAGGTCCATCCAGTGGGTTTACATGGACAAACCAGGATTCGAACCCTGGTCTCCAGAATCCTAGTCCAGGGCTCAAACCACTACAACATGCTATTGTTGCGTACCTTCAAATTGACTCTGACTTACAGCAACCCTATACTAGAGCTCTCTTGGCCAGATTTACTGGGAAGAGCTTTGCCATTGCCTTCCTCTGAGGCTGAGAGAGTGTGACTTGCCCAAGGTCACCTAATGGGTTTCCACGGCTGAGCAGGGATTCGAACTCTGGTCTCCTAGAAGTTCCAGCCCAGCTGTCCATGACTAGAGTCAAAGGTGACAGCAGTTATGTAAGTTCCATTTATTCAGTGGGTCTCCTCTAGTTGGGAGTGTGGGTTTAGGCCAGGGGTAGGTAACTTAATGCCCGGGGGCCGGATGCGGCCCGCCGACGCCTTTAGACCGGCCCCAGGCCCGTCCTGCCGCCGTCCGCCATGATGATATTAATTATTATTGTTATTACTTGTTCTTG